ACATGGATGAGAAGGGTGACAGACCCATTGCTTTTGCCAGTAGATCTTTGAACCAGGCTGAGAAAAATTATTCTCAGTTAGATAGGGAAGGCTTAGGCATCATTTTTGGTGTTAAGAAATTTCATAAGTTTCTGTTTGGTAGGAAGTTCACCATCTTTACAGATCATAAACCATTGCTAGGTTTATTTGGAGAAAACAAAACCCTACCTGAGCATGCCTCTCCAAGAATTCAAAGATGGGCTATCACACTAACTGCATACAATTATGAATTGAAATACAAACCTGGATCTGAGAATAGTGCAGATAGTCTTAGTAGATTACCTTTAAAAAACCAGAGCCTGAGCTATGTACCAGAAGATGTATTTGTTCTCTTCACTATCATGGATAACTCCAATATAAATGTGAATGATATTAAAAGAGAAACACAAAAAGATGAGTGCTTAATAAAAGTATATGAGTACTGTATGAATGGTTGGCCTGAAGAGTCTGTGAATGATGACTTAAGGCCATATAAAATAAGAAATTAAAACCCCTTGTGAAGATAATATAAAAGATGGAGAAGATGCAGTCCATTATCAGTCAGAGTTGCCTAAACAAAGTATTTGTAACTTAATAAATGATTATGGTGATATGGCAATTTCAAATGTTTTAAAGAGAATACATTAGTAAGAAGGAATGTGATCATCAAACAACTTTGCTAACATCATTAGCACTTACAGAAACTAAAAGGGTAACATCAAAAGAAAAAAAAAAGGGATTTTTTGCCATTTAATACTTTCAGATGCCAATTCAAAAATAGGTCCATTAAATCATGACAACTCATGCATTGAAAGAGAATTTGGTGTTAATAAGAATGTGTATCTAAGAAATTATGGGAGAAAGGAAAAATGGATACCAGGTCAAATTGTTCAATGTACAGGACCTGTGCCTTATAAAGTTAAAAATAACTTGTGCAGATAATAAGTGTGAATCTGTCAATCCCACCAAATCTGAATAGTTCACACCAACTCAGTTTGTTCCACAACCAAGTTCTGTTGATATGAGTGAACCAAGTTGTCTGGAGTCAGAAAATGTAAATTCTGGAGTTAATGATTTAAATCCTAGACCTCCTGAGATAGAGAATCCAAATGGTCAGAATATTGAGTCACCAAATCAAAAGCTACTGAGAAGGTCAAGCAGGACAATCAAAGTCCCAAATAAGTTAGACCTATGATTTTAAAGGTCAAGAGGACTTTGACATCATTGTTTTGTATCTTGATTATGTTGTGGCATATTGTGCATTGTTTGTAAGGATGTAATCTACCATAATGTTCATGTTACAATATAATTGGTGATTTTAGGATACTATCAATTGTTCTATTGAGAGATGTGTTATTGTGTTCTAAGGGTAAAGGGATGTAATAGATTGAGATAATTGTGAGGTCAAGGGAACTCACTCTTCTGTATTAGTATTATATTTATATTGTTATCTTGAGTGATGTCCCTTACATGTTGTTATCTATAAATAGTTGTCTCTCGCCACTTCCTTCCTCTTTGCATCATGGCTGTCTGTAAATAAAGGCTGTTAACACCAATGTGGCTCCTCGTCAATCTATCACAATAAATGTGAATGATGTTAAAAGAGAAACACAAAAAGATGAGTGCTTGATAAACTCCTCATATAACAACAGTTGTTGCACCATGCGAATTGTTGTGTGCTAGGAAAATTAAAACTCACCTTGACCTACTACATCCAACTGTTCAAAGGTCTGTTTCCCAACATCAACATACACAAAAAGTAAATCATGACAAAACATCCATTGAGAGAGAATTTGGAGTTAATGATAATGTGTATCTGAGAAATTATGGGAGAGGGGAAAAATGTATACCAGGTCAAATTGTTCAATGTACAGGACCTGTGTCTTATAGACATGCAGACCAGTTAAAAATAACTTGTGCAGATAAGAAGTGTGAATCTATCAATCCCACCAAATCTGAACAGTTCACACCAACTCAGTTTGTTCCACAACCAAGTTCTGTTGATATGAGTGAACCAGGTAGTCTAGAGTCAGAAAATGTAAATTCTGGAATTAATGATTTAGATCCTAGACTTCCTGAGCTAGAGAGTCCAGATGGTCAGAATCTTGAGTCACCAAATCAAAAGCCACTGAGAAGGTCAAACAGGACAATCAAAGTCCCAGATAAGTTAGACCTATGATTTTAAAGGTTAAGAGGACTTTGACATCATTGTTTTGTATTTTAATTATGTTGTAGCATATTTTGCATTTGTTTGTAAGGGTGTAATCTACAAAATGATTCAAATCATATAATGTTCATGTTACAATATATTTGGTGATTTTAGGATACTATCATTTGTTCTATTGAGAGCTGTGTTGTTGTTTACTAAGGGTAAAGGGATGTAATATATTGAGAATTGTGAAGTCAAGGGAACTCACTCTTCTTGTATTAGTCTTATATTCATAATGTTGTTTTGAGTGATGTCCCTGGTAGGTCATGCGTCTTCCGGTAGCTGAATAAAGTCTAGATACATCAACGTGGCTCTATCGTCCAGTGTATCATTAATAAAATAGCAATCTATTTCACCAGCCCCACAGAGATAGTATCTCTTATATAATTTTGACCCTCAGGGCCCAGCAGGGAGAACAAAGGGGAAAGTCCCACTGCTCTCCCCTCAACATTTCTCACCTCGATCAGTGTTTCTTCCAGACTTTTTTCTCCGGGGGGGGGGGGGGCGCTTGAAATTTTCGGGGGGGGGGGGGGGGGGGCGGTAAACTTTCTTCGGGGTTAGGGTTAGGGTTAGGGTTATATATTTTCTATATAAATTATATAAATTTCATTTCGTTCGGGGGGGGGGGGGGGGGGGGGGTGGTAAAGAAACTCTGACCTCGATGTCATGTTATGTCATTTATAGCACACATGGCTTATCAGGGGAAAGCTTCACACTAGTATACTAGCTACACACTGGGTGCCTACTGTAAACTACTAGACTGTAGGCCCTATGTAGACCTGCAATTGTATCAATTGTATACTGGGCCCATTGCTATTTCTCTAAACCATCTTACTTATAATGTTTCTAGCTTGATTTGTTTCTTTTATAAACATAGTGGATTTAAAAAAAAAATAGCCTAATCATTAACCAAATAATAATAATGTGGTTATTTGTTGTTGGCTGGTATGATCTAGATTCTACTACTAGGCTACATAAACTTAGTAGACCAATTACTAGATATGCATTTGAATTTAATTAAACTCAGTCCAGTATCAGATACATATTGCTGTAAAAAGACACAAAGTAGGTAGGCAGTAATTTATTAAAGCCTTCTACTACAATAATATCAACTACATGATTGTATAAACTTGTTACAATTCTATTTAAGTAGCAGATTTAAGATCTAAGTCTAGTCATAAAATCTATTTCAATTCCAGAAAATTTCGTTTGCTAAAAAAAATGATTAGATTATAGAGCGAGATTTTAGTTCTTAGAGACAATTAAAATTAATGCTTTATTAGACTATTATGACTACTTTTGATTTATTATGGGTGTATTTTGAATCGAATGTAGATCTAAATTTTGTAATTAAATTTAAGTAAATAAGTAGATTCTAGATTCTATGTCTACCCAGCGGAGCCAGTCACCCTAAATCCAGATCTGTGGTCCGAATTTTGTTTACGCCATGTTTAGAGCTAGATTCTAGATCTAGATATTAAAACACTATTATTAGGCCTACTATTAAATCTTATTATTACTTTTGACATTGTCTTTTACTATTAGTATTTGTGAAGGTCGAGCATATTTGTTTTATTAATAGTTATCTTTTATAGGTAATTAAAATGAAAATTATTATTTTACTGTCCTTACCTGAAACAAAGTGTCGAGAACAGATTCTCATCTTATTTGCCCGCTGCTTCACTCACACAGTGTTTCTTCCAGACTTTTTTTCTCCGCGGGGGGGGGGGGGGGGGCACTTGAAATCTTCGGGGGGGGGGGGGGGGGGGCGGTAAACTTTCTTCGGGGGGGGGGGGGGGGCGGACACTGTTAAAAGTATATATTTTCTATATAAATTATATAAATTTCATTTCGTTCGGGGGGGGGGGGGGGGGGGGGGGGGGTAAAAAATTTTCGGGGGGGGGGGGGGGGGGGGGGGCAAAAGCCGCCCCCGAAGAGATGCCTGGAAGAAACTCTGCACTCATACCACTGCGATTAATTTTGGCTAAAAATTGACGGCGTCTACGTTCTGTTAACTGTCGATCTCTATCATTTTGGTTTAATATAACCCTTGGCCGTTGAAATAAAGGAATCCCTTTAGATCTGCCACTTCGAGTATCACAACCTTTCACCGCACAGCAGTGGCGTAGCCAGGATCGTCTCAAGGGGGGGTGTCCAATTTTTACCCGGGGACAAACTTGCGATTTGAACCCCCCCTCATACTTTATATATATATATACCGAGGGGTCTATGGGGGGGGTGTGTTTACGACCCCTCTAACCCCCCCCCCCCTGCCTACCCCACAAATCACCATTTTGAATGTAGATCTGTACACCGAGATGGCGGATGTTGACATTCACGAACGGACGTCATATGAAAGGACTCTATTGACAGATTCCATGCAAAAACACATTTGTGACTGATTTTTTTAGCGCAATTTCCTTACTGATAATTGCGATTATTAATTCGTTATTTCTGGATGGATGGATGTGTCCGCAGCTTTAAGTCGTATCTCCTCCTCAACGAAGCAATATCGAGGACTAGTTCCAAAAGCAAATATGTCAAGCTAGTTCCGAGGATGATTGTGGGCCAAACAATTCCCGGAATTCCTTCCTGGAATTCCCGGAAAAGCCAAAAAAACCTATATCTCGGCAACCAGACCACTTAGTGACTTGAAACATTTACCAATCGATTCCTGCCATAATTTAGAACAATATTGCCGAAGAAAGTTTTCAAAAATATCCTTTTGTTCGGTCACAAAAAATTAATTAAGGAAAAAAAAATTGTCACTAGACTTTATTAACTTGTTTATTACAAACAAAATATGTGAGGATTGTTTAGAACATTTAACAGACATTTTGTCTTTCTGGCGCTTATATTTTTGCCAGTAACAGGTAGGGTTGACTATGTGCTAACAAAATAACTCTATCCATACTCAAGTCATTATCTGATATACTTCAATGACAAAGTTGTAATAAATAAGAAATGAAAAATAACAAAAAATTACCATTCAGCTAGATATTTTTTATAGTATGGACATATTGTTAGTAGTCTGGCGTTATGTTGGCCAACTCAAGTCGCTGACTTGATATGAAATTTCAGTAAACATGTTAACAACCTTTTCGACATGTTAATTTTTTTCAATATGTATTTTTTTTTTCAACATGTTAACAACCTTTTCAACATGCTAACACACTTTATAAACATTTTTATTAAATAATACTAGATAGACATTAGAACACTAGTAATACTAGGGTTAGCAGTATGAACAATTCAGAGTGTACAATGGCGTTTCTTTTTATTATCAACATTTTGAAATAAAATCTTGAAAGCACTTATTCATTTTAAAAATGGTGAAATTTACAAAAAAATATCAAGCACAGCAAGTCAAGGCAAGCGTAATTCAAGGCATGGGTAGACATAATGCCTCTCTCAATGGTAACCCAAGACATGGGTAGACATAATGCCTCTCTCAATGGTAACCCAAGACATGGGTAGACATAATGCCTCTCTCAATGGTAACCCAAGACATGGGTAGACATAATGCCTCTCTCAATGGTAATCCAAGGCATGGGTAGACATAATGCCTCTCTCAATGGTAACCCAAGACATGGGTAGACATAATGCCTCTCTCAATGGTAACCCAAGACATGGGTAGACATAATGCCTCTCTCAATGGTAACCCAAGACATGGGTAGACATAATGCCTCTCTCAATGGTAACCCAAGACATGGGTAGACATAATGCCTCTCTCAATGGTAACCCAAGGCATGGGTAGACATAATGCCTCTCTCAATGGTAATCCAAGGCATAGGTAGACATAATGCCTCTCTCAATGGTAACCCAAGGCATGGGTAGACATAATGCCTCTCTCAATGGTAATCCAAGGCATAGGTAGACAGGAAGCCTCTCTCAGTGGTTTTAGTCAGATCAACATAGACTGGGCTCACAACATCAATGACCAGACTGATGTGTAGTTGCAGATTGAATGGACTAATGTATTGTGCAGCTTTAGAATTGTCTAGTCTTATTAAACATGCCACAGCTTAACTTCATCTTCACCTTTGACCTGTGTACAAGAAAGAAACAACAAATGAGTTGCAGAATCTAAGGTAGCTAACAAAGCTAAAGTTAACCCTAATCTTGTAGCTATCAGGTGACTAGGCTTGAGTTAACCGAGAGGCGTTAGTGACCCTTCCCGGTGCCCGGGGACAACCTTTCAATTTGCCCTAACCCCCCCCCCCCCCCCCCCATATATTTTTTATATTTATAATGCAAAACTGCAGCTAAAATGAGCTTTTAATTTTTTTCAAACCCATTTTGGCACCCCCTAGAGACGGGGTCTGGGGACATATGTACCCCCCACCCTTCGCTACACCTTGGAGTTAACCCTAATCTTGTAGCTATCACATAATCAGGTAATTAAGCTAGAGTTAACCCTAATCTTGTAGCTATCAGGTAATTAAGCTAGAGTTAACCCTAATCTTGTAGCTATCAGGTAATTAATCTAGAGTTAACCCTAATCTTGTAGCTATCAGGTAATTAAGCTAGAGTTAACCCTAATCTTGTAGCTATCAGGTAATTAAGCTAGAGTTAACCCTAATCTTGTAGCTATCAGGTAATTAAGCTAGAGTTAACCCTAATCTTGTAGCTATCAGGTAAACGGGCTAGGGTTAACCCCAACCCTATCGGGTAACTAGGCTAGAGATAACCCTAATCCGAATGCTATCAATTAGTAGGGATAGGGTTAACCCTAACCTTTAGCATACAACTCTTACCTCGGTATTCAAACTCTGAACCTTGGCCAGAAGCTCTTCTTCAATAGAAAGCTTGAAGGCAGCTTCTACAGAATTAGCACTGCCTATCATAGAAACATAAGATTTGCATTAAACAGCAGTTTCTGCTAATCTTACATAAAGTATAAAACTGTTAGTAAAATATTAATACTAAATAATATACTAAATAAAGCGTATATTTTTATAGTATAACAATAAGCAAGGTGGCAACCGTACAATAGAAACATTATTTACATTTTTTTTTAAATTTTAATTTAAAAAAAGAATTGCATAGAAAAAAGAACTGTGCACCAAGGGAAAGCAAAAAACCTGTTATAATAGAGCGGAGAATCAGTACGTATACTTTATAAAAGGAAACATGTATTTTTTTTTTGAGAAATTGGAAATGGCTTAAAATACTACTTCCAGTCAACACAAATCACTGAAAATTTGAAAGCATCAAGAGAATAAGATCTTTTACCATAAGTGAAACAGTATTCAAATTACTGGTTTTTGTGAAACCAGAGATAAAATACCACTTCCGATTATCAGAGGTCACTCAAAAATTGGAAGTAATCAAAGTAAAAGGTGGTATAATTACAAAAGAAATTTCGTCTCCCTTTTTGAAACAGTACTCCAGATGTTATGTTCCCACAGAAATAGAGTTAAATACCAGTTCTAGTTGACACTGGTAAAAGTATAAATTTTCTGTATTAATTTTATTTTGTTTCAAAGAGATGCTGGGAAGACACTCTGTGAGTGAGGGCTTACATATAGTGAGGGCTCACATATAGTGAGGGCTCACATATAGTGAGGGCTCACATATAGTGAGGGCTCACATATAGTGAGGGCTCACATATAGTGAGGGCTCACATATAGTGAGGGCTTACATATAGTGAGGGCTCACATATAGTGAGGGCTCACATATAGTGAGGGCTCACATATAGTGAGGGCTCACATATAGTGAGGGCTCACATATAGTGAGGGCTCACATATAGTGAGGGCTTACATATAGTGAGGGCTTACATATAGTGAGGGCTCACATATAGTAAGGGCTCACATATAGTGAGGGCTCACATATAGTGAGGGCTCACATATAGTGAGGGCTCACATATAGTGAGGGCTCACATATAGTGAGGGCTCACATATAGTGAGGGCTCACATATAGTGAGGGCTCACATATAGTGAGGGCTCACATATAGTGAGGGCTCACATATAGTGAGGGCTCACATATAGTGAGGGCTCACATATAGTGAGGGCTCACATATAGTGAGGGCTCACATATAGTGAGGGCTCACATATAGTGAGGGCTCACATATAGTGAGGGCTCACATATAGTGAGGGCTCACATATAGTGAGGGCTCACATATATTAACAATCCTGGCTCGCCATAGAAGTGTGATATCAATGTTGGGGTAAGATATTAATGAGCTGTATTTTACTCAGTTCCACTAGACCCCCCCCCGTGGAGGGGTTGGGGGGGGGGGGGAAGAAAGGGGGCGACATGACGTTTGGGGGGCCCACAGCCAACCATAATATTTTAGAAAATTTTGAATTCAATTTTCATGCATGTTTGCCTTGATATTTAGTTTGTAAAAAAAAAATAGCTGCGGTACGATTATATTTATTTTACAGTCACTATACCACGCTCTTCTGCAAACATCAAAATCAATTACACAAACTGTAGTGTAAAATATAGGCAAAACTTTAAATTTTAATGACTTCTGTGACTTGTTGCTCCCCTTTCTTAGCCAAATAGGGGACATGTAACTGTTCAACCGATCCTCCAAAGTGAACTGTGGCGGATGGGGCAAGGGGATGTGAACCCAATAGGGGTCTTAAAATTGTCACCAAATGTATTTATATATTAAAAATAGGTATTAATTATCGTATTTTATTTTAACCATCTTCAAGTCCGAGTTCTATTTCCCCTACAATCAATAACATGCTGTCGCCGGCAAATTTCTTTGCAAAAAAAAAAACAGAGTCCATAGATCGAGAAGCCGCTAGATAAAGATATGTAGTGGGCTTTCATGATACGCGATACTTCTTTGCGGCTTTGGTTAGGGGCCCATAATCCATTGTACATTTTTCAATGTTAATATCTGTTTGCGATATTGGTAGAAATTCTATCCTTTGGAAAAGGATTATATTTTATAATATATATATATATATATATATATATATATATATATATATATATATATATATATATATATATATACACTTATTTTACTAGATGAATGAAAAACTAAAGTGCAGCACAAATTTTATTTAGCTGAATGTAAACAGCTTGAACTGTACTGTAACAAAAAAAAAATGACCACAAAGTATATTCTGGATCAAAGTTTACAATTAAAAAACTAACGACAGCAAACTCCATTTTTAAGGATGGCTTATCTGTAACTGTTTCAGTACAATTGTTGTCAAAATATAAAATACCTGAGAAGTTAGATAACCTGTTCTAAGTCTATGTGGCCTAGGTTAGGGTAATGCCTGATGCATTGTTTGGATCGCTTGAAACTGTACCTGTTTTTATATGTCTAGTGGTAGCATAGTTTGGATAGCTTGATGATTCTATGTTGCCAGCCCAGGCATGAGAAGAAAGTAGAGAAGGTCTTGGAGAATGGAGGGGTGAGTGGCAGAGAGCATGTAGACTAGAGCTGCGAGCCATGGCTAATGGAGCCCTTTGAAACACTTTCAGAATTGCATCTTTTTCAACCAGCTGACTCTCTAGCTGTTTGACTCTAAACAAAGTGAAAACCATGAACAAACATGACATAAATCTAAAAAAAAACAGAAAAAGGGTGAATTACTACATATAATAAACATTTTCAACTCTTGTATATTACATTCTATTTTTAATTTGAATACCATGTAAAAGTGAGGGAAATGCTACTTAAACTATAACTTATTTTAAAGCTCTCCAAATTACCATTTGTCATTATGGACAGGTTTCCCCCCAATTTATTGTTAAAAACGCTATTTTTGTGTGTGTATTGAACTAAATGAACCTTTTATGAAAATTTTACATCAATTATTTTAAAAAAGTTTTTAATTAGATATGGCTTATTTCATATTTTTAAAAACCCTGGGTTCACATTAAAATGCTTAATTTTAATGAATAAATTTTTTTTTACTAACTATCGAATTTTGATAATAATTTCAATGCTTTAATCACATAATGCTTGGTTTTAATGTATAATCATTATTATTAGCAACTTTAAACCACCTTTTTTTTAGCGACTTAATAAATTTTCATTAGTTTTAGCCAATCAGAGAGCTATTTTTATTTTTTGCATTTTTCTCAAAATCATTTTTGACATAACGGGCACTCTCTTTCCAAAAGTTAAAAAGCTATTAAGCTAAAAGTTGGTATACATGTTCAGAATCTACCAATCTTAAAATTGATCCTTTTTTACAAAAATATTACCAACATTTTTGAAATTTGATCTTAAAGTAACCCCTGAACCCTAATATTAAACACTAGAATTAAAAAAAAATCAGAATCGAATAAAAATGGAATGAAATACTCTCTAGTGTTATTACTATGAATGCAAAACTTCAGTTCTTAATTGTTTTTTTTTATTACAGTGCACCTAAATAAGTTACCAAAAATGGTGAACTATATTTTGTTATTTGTATTGATATGCATAATAATGGTGTTCCTAAGTTTATCAATAAATAAATTTAAATTTTAGGGTGATACCTATCCTTAAGGGTATGGGCGGGTGATCCCTACCAAAATTTTTTAAAATTTCCAAACTTAATGCTATCCTATTTGGCTTAAAGTTATAACTCACTGTTAAGCATAAATATATTTATTTTTTTGAAATATGTTGCCTTGGTGTTGGTGGCATATGGGAATCTTTTGACAAAATAACTCTAAAATGGTTTGTACATATTTGATAAAAATTGAATAGAACCTGGAGACATAGTATTTGAAACGTTTGATAGATTACTTTAACAAAAATTAAGATTTTTTCTCCCACATCACTGAAAAAATGCCATTATTTCTTCCAATTTATTTGCTATTTTAACTGTAAAATAAACAACTTTTAAAAAAAGTGTTTGTTCTATTAGTTTTTATGGAACAGAATAACTGGAACAAGTTAAGTTCAGTTTTGACATTTATTAGCAATGACTTTTAGTAATAGTACAAAAAACATAAATAGGAGAAAAAAGCAAAAAACACCAATAAAAAGTTGCACACAATCGGCCCCGTCAAATGGCCCTGTTAATATGACCCCGTCAAATCGACCCCCCGACAAAACGACCCAGTCAAAATAGCCCTGTCAAAAGGACTTATTGGCTACCGTCAAATGGGCTCCTGTCATATTGACTCGCGACATATAGGCTCCCGACAAAGTGGCTCCCGACATATTGGCTCCAGACATAAGGGCTCACAACAAATGGGCTCCCGACAAATGGGCTCATGACATATTGGCTGCCGACAAATGGGCTCCCGACATATTGGCTACCAACAAAATGACTCCCGACATATTGGCTCCAGACAAATGAATTGCATGACCACTATTGGCATCAAAGTAACCATTTTATCCTACCTCCACTACTATTATAACCTCTTTAAAATGCCCGAATGAAATTGCTTTTTCTTGAAAAAACATCAATTCACAAACAAATCGAGCCAATACAGCTAAATTCCACCAATTCTAAAATTTTGATAATGTTTAATTTACAACAGTAAAGATCTGTTGCTTAAATGCAAGCACAGAAGTGTAAATGTATGATACACATGATGTTTACAGGATAAAGGCCCTTTGTTTTGATAACCTACAAAAATACTGCAGGTAGGAAGGTACGGCATGGACCCCTCTCCCCACACAATGAGTTGGAACAGCTTATAACCGACTCATTTATGGCAGGTGTGATATTCCATGAGACCGTTTTGCCAGGAGACTTAGTCTCTACAGAAACGGTATTGTCAGTGGTCCTTTTGTCTGGAGCCAAATTGACAGGAGCCTATTTGTCGGGAGTCGTAATGACGGGGGCCGTTGTGTGGAAAAACTAAATGGCGGGATCCTATTTGTCAGGAGCCTTATTGACTGGAGTCCTTTTGTCAGGAGCCTATATAACGGGAGCCTATTTGTCGAGAGCCTACATGACGGGAGCCTATTTATCGGGAGCCTTTATGACGGGGTCCATATGTCGCTGGCCCTTTTGACGGGGTCAATTTGACGGGGCACTTATGTCGGGGCCGATTTGTCGGGGTCGTTTTGTCATTGGCCGTTTTGACGCCGCACGAGTTTCTAGCAATATGTCATTGAATGTGATAATAGATAGAATAGTAACACTAATATCCCAGTAAGGGCAAAAGAGAGTACCCTTTGGAACAAGAGGGTCTATTTGGAAAATGAAGTAGAGTTCACGTGTTTCTGTGACCATGGCATATGAAGGGATAGTGTGGTCAGCACTATGCCCAGCTGCCTTTACTTTCCTAACATGAGTTAGGTACCCATCAGAGTTGGGCGGACTCAGGGACGGTATGCTGACTCAAACCCGGATTCGCACTTGAGACTTATGGGTTAGCAGTCCAGCTCTCTACCGCTAGACCACTCCGTCCCTAAATTGTGAATGGCTTTGCTCTAAATTCTTGTGTAAATGTGTAGATAGTGTTTACAACTTTATTACAACTGCCACACCACACAATTATGGGAATGTTTACTTACAAAGTAAAACGGCCAAGCACTTAATAGCTTTCACTGCTGAAAAATCTAGGTAAAATGTGCATGGCATATCCCAAAAGAACCGATTGAGTAAAGTAACGTTATGACTTAGGAAAAAGAATAATTTCAAATGAGTATTTTGATTGGGTGCTTAGTTTAAGAACAAACAAAGACGGGAAGTCACAACCCTTCCACTGAAATGAAATACATTAGGCTTTCACAAAGCCTAATATTTGTATTCCAGGTCAAAAGTTGCTATTTTAAAAAAAAAGTATAAAATAAAGCTCTACATACTACTCTGAAACTGGGTTTTCTTTAAAAAATAGTGCTTTTAGGGTAATAAAATTGTTATTTTTAGTTTCAGCAATGGTTTGTATAGATCTAATAAAACTGTCAACTATTTTAGGATGAAAATTACCCATATCCTAAAAATGATACAAATTTGAATCCCCTTTACAAGAGTATTTCAATGGCTATTTCCGACTATAGAGGACTAAACAAAAAATGCCTTACCTGGCCTCCAATTCAGCCACATTTCTTTGTGACTGGTGTAACTCTTCCATGTGTTTCAATTTTTCTGTCTTAGCTTCATCTATTAGTTTTTCCACACCAGAAGAGCATTTGTCAACTGGAGTCAGTCGTAAATCTCTGAACAATACAATTTTAAAACAACAGGAGTTAACCATAAATCTCTGGCTTTACATATTCATTCAAAATTTTTAAAAATCATGCAATCTTAACCTATTTGTATATTTTTCAATGTCTGAAAGTGTTAACTTGATAACTGAATTTTTCAGTTATTTCTCAATCCTATATTAACATTTATTTTAAAATCTTTATAGTATTTATAGAAATTATTTTAATCCAATTGCCTTATTTTTAAAGACAACAATTCTATTATTATATACTTAAAATAAAATTACAACAAAAAAATGCAGTCAATGCTAGTGCCACTTACTTTAATCCTGATGATATTTCTCCAATATTCAACTGTCTTAAAGTCGTTTCTTTCAGTAATTTTTGCTCCATCTTGCATATTTAAAAAAAAAAACAACATAAAACTTGATCCAACAACCAATCTGCATTGGTCTTCATATAAAATCATTAGACATTAGGTGATAAAAAGTGATCCAACTTACCGAGGCTAAATCTGTTTCCAGCTGTAGAATCTTGGTATCTTTTTCCTCCAAAATTTTTCTCAAGGTACCTGTAACTTTGATATCATCTTTTCCTGATTCTGAACGTCTCAGTGGACCTGCCTAGAAAATTGTTAAGAATCCCATATTACACAAATATTGGAACAAAAAATTTCATGCTTATTTTCCTTAAATTTACCCTGTTGTCAACACATTTTATAGCTTAATATTTTATTCTAACATTTAATTCTACAAAAAGTTAATGGTTTATATACATTGTTCATCTCTGAAATGAAAATTTACAACCTTATCTTGTGCTCGGTACATTTCCAGCTCTTTCTCTAATAGGGCCCGCATTTCTTTTTCTTTTTTCTCTTGTTTTTCTGTGACGGCTTGAAGAGCAGAAAAAGCTCTTTGTGTCTGCTCTAGCTTCTCAATATAACCATGTTTCTAATTGGAAAAAATACAGTCAATGTCACAAGACAATACACTGAGTAGAAACCAAATAACAAGAAAGTTAACAATGGTAAGAAGCTGGGCCAGATGGGATACAACCAGAGGCATTTAAAGCAGACCTGCTGAAGATCAAAGAACAAGAACTAATCTGTGCAAATTGCAAACTAAGATACTTAGTGAAACTTCCAAAGAAAGATGATCTTTCTCAATAATCATGCTATTATTTCTACCTAGCAGGTTCCTTACAGGAATTATGCTTGAGAGGCTGAACGAGGCCTTGTACTAAAACAGAACAGGCAGGTTTTTGACAGTACATATAGCCACGATGGGGATAATTATTTAACATTCAAATGAGTGCCTCTATGACCTTTTGTTGATTTTGAGAAGGCGTTTGATATTGTGGACAGAGACATTTGGAAATTGATAAACCACTATGGGATTCCCCAGAAGTTCCTTAACTGCTCCAACTACCAGATTATCCACAGAAATAAGGTAACCAAACCCTTTTAAAACCTGAGTACAACAAGGAGGTATGCATTTGCCACTGATGTTTTTGATGATCATTGACTGGATTATGAAAACAACCTAGGAGTCTCACCAAAAAGCAGGAGAATCATGACATCAGCCTCACAGACAACAGCATGCCCCACCCAAGCGAAGCAAACTGTGAAGAGCACTAAAGACATGGTGAAATATCAACTGGGAAAAAAACAGTTAAAAAAGAAAGTTAACAACAAATAGGAAGTCCTACTTGAGATACAAGAAATGACTATATTGGAGGTAGATCACTTGATATATCTAGAAAGTGTGGTGATGGGGGAGCAGATGAGGGCATCAAAAGTCACATCAGCAAGGCCAGGTATGCATTCAACACCCACTGCACAACCTAGAAACGACACCCAATAGTCATAACCCCCCCCCCCCCCCCCCTACAAGATAAAAACCCAGTGACATTTACCCTCTGGACAATAACCACCAATTGGGTTTATATAAGGAAATACTAATGTTGATGTTACCAAACAACATTTGAGAGATTGTTAGTGACGCCTCAACATATATACTCTAATATTGAAAATTACTCTAATATTGAAAATTTGAACAGTTACCATTCAAGCGCTGCTAACAATATGCATTATTTTTTTTTGGAGCAATTGAAATTTGAAAGACTAGACTGGCAACATCCCATACTGGCCTGAAAATTTTGTGCCAGCCTTCAACTGAGTTGTCCTTTTTGGCATATTGCCTTTGACATGCATGTGCACATTTCCGCAACTCTTTTGTTTTATTAAAAATATTTGTTTAGATTTATATGGCTCCCACATTTTGATGTTTTGTCAGTGCCCATTGTCTGATCAAATACCAAGAAGGTCACTACTTAACTGCTGAATGGCATTTTATAGGTAGAAACTAGTTCGTTAGTTGTAAAAATTTTAATTTTTTTTTCTTCCATTCAAAATTATATACAATATATACCTTAATATTGCAAAGTTTTGTTCTCATTTTCATAAGTATTTCCTCACATAAACCTCGATTGGTGGGGAGGGGGAAAGAGTCCAGGGGGTTTATGTCCAGGGATTATTGTCCGGGAGCCACAAAAACCAGGCCAAAACCCTATTGGCAAAAAAAAATAAAGACGCAAATAGGGATAGGTTTGACGCATATGGGCAAACCAACAAACAATATAACCAGTGAGACATTTGATTGGAATCCCCAAGGAAAGATAAAAAAAAATAGGCCTAAACAAAATAGGAAAATATCAGCAGTCAGTGAAGCACAAGTAGGTAGAATGTTTGACCAAACCTGGAAGTGTGGTGGTGTCCCTATGCTGCACAAAGGGTACACAGTAGTGATTAATGAAAGTAATACACACAAAATTTGAGTTAAAAACAAGTGTTCTGATAATAAGCACATGATAAGTTCTGTTTGTAGAATTGCCTAAAACTTATGTAATGGTGTATGTAATGTTGGGTACGTTTGTGTGCTCTTCAGTGACCATAGAAAACACTGCCAAAGATAACAGGAGAAAGAATTCATAAACACCATCACAATATATTCATTCCAAATAGCTGGCCAAAATCTTTTCAGGACCAAAATCACTGCACTTACCTCCTCCTCTAATGTAAGAACTCTGGTTTGAACATTTAAAAGGGCATTCTCAAAGATGTCCACATGGGCCCTCAAGTCAGTAGCTGTTAAAGCATGTTTGTTATTTTCTCCTTCTAGTTCATCTCTGCTTATTGAAAGTTCTTGATCTGTATAAATAAACATATGAATTCATAGACAAAAAAGTTCTGTCTTTGTAATGTTTAAACTAATTTAATCCAAGTTTCATTTAAAGTTAAAGAGCCAAATAACATTTATTTTATTAACCATTTAAAAGTTTATCATTGTAATGATTTGAAACAATCACAAAAATAAAAGTGTTTGCTAAATTACTATCATATTACTAGTAATTGTTTCTTTGACTATTTCTAGCATTTCTGAAATTTTGTACTTATTACACAAATGTTATAAAAAATACAATTTTGGTTGAAAAAAAAACTTTCTGGCAACAAAACTTTGGAACCATTTGGAACCAGCTTTTCAACTCCATTGTGCTGATATTTTTGCTGCTAATTTGTGTTGATATTTTAGTTGTTTGTGCTGCGATTTTAGTTGCAATTTGTGTTGGCATTTTTGTTATTTGTGGTGCCATTTTAGTTGCAATTAGAATTAACATTTAAGTTGCAATTTATGATGCCATTTGCGTTGACATTTTAGTTATTTGTGATGCCATTTGTTGACATTTTAGTTGCTTTTTGTGATGCCATTTGTGTTGATATTTTAGTTATTTTTGATGCCATTTTAGTTGCAAGTTGTGATGCCATTTTAATTGTCATTGTAGTTGCAATTTGAGATGCCATTTGTGTAGCCATTTTAGTTGCAATTTGGTATGCCATTTGTGTAGCCATTTTAGTTGCAATTTGGTATGCCATTTTAGTTGCAATTTGTGATGCCATTGTAGTTGCCATTTGTGATGCCATTTGTGTTGACATTTTAGTTATTTGTGATGCGATTTTAATTGCCATTTTAGTTGCAAGTTGTGATGCGATTTTAATTGTCATTTTAGTTGCAATTTGTGTAGCCATTTTAGTTGCCATTTGTGATACCATTTGTGTTGACATTTTAGTTATTTGTGATGCCATTTGAATTGCCATTTGTGTTGCAATTTGCTATGCCATTTTAGTTGCAAGTTGTGATGCCATTTTAGTTGCAATTTGTGATGCCATTTGTGTTGACATTTTTGTTGCCATTTTATTTGTGATGGCTTTTGTGTAGCCATTTTAGTTGCCTTTTGTGTAGCCATTTTAGTTGCCATTTGTCATGCCATTTTTGTTGCCATTTGTGTAGCAATTTTATTTGCAACGAGCTGTTTTATTTTCTACTTTTCAGTAATTCATAATTTGTGAATTCGACACTACCAATGCTGCCACTGAAAATATTTGCTTTAAAACACTATCAGTAGGTCATTATGGACGATACTATCCCCACCCTCCTTTCCCCCAATCCCTACCCTACACCCCCCCCCCCCCAGTGAAAGCAGCCCCCTCTTAGTTACCTCCCCTAAGTTAAATCGTTTCAAAGTAAATTATCTGCCCCTAATAGCCGCCAGTAAACCCGGCTCTACAAATGTAAACATTTAGCGTGAACCACAGCTCACCAGACCATGTGGGGGTGGTAGGGATATGCCTAGAGAGGAAGAGAGGGGGCTGCTAGGCGCGCTTACAGCTTGTTTTCTGAGTATCCAAGAAGAGAATTATATATATAGATTTGTGATGTCTTTTGTGTTGACATTTTAGTTGCAATTTGTGTAGACATTTTTTGCTGATATTTGTGAAATAAAATTCAGAAATACTTACTTTGTGCCAAGAGTTTAGTTATCGTTGCTTCTTTTTCTGCTAGTTTATTACTTATTTCACCATCTATCCATGGAACAGACCTACATGCTAATTTTGGAATAGAATGTTTTTTAAAATTTCAGATAACAATCATATAAAACTATACCTATACTAAACGAAAATTGTTGCATTACTTAATAAGGAATTTCATTCAGATCTGTATGTCTACTTCGTATTTTTTTTTAAAATGTCACTATCAACCCTGCACTACATACTAAAACTTGAGATCAAAAGTTAGGGACAACCACCTGTATGATTAAGGATTAGGGACAACCACCTGTATCATTTAGGGTTGGAGACAACCACCTGTATCATTTAGGGTTGGGGACAACCACCTGTATCATGTAGGGTTGGGGACAACCACCTGTATCATTTAGGGTTAGGGACAACCACCTGTATCATTTAGGGTTAGGGACAACCACCTGTATCATGTAGGGCTAGGGACAACCACCTGTATCATTTAGGGTTGGGGACAACCACCTGTATCATGTAGGGCTAGGGACAACCACCTGTATCAACTGGGGTTAGTACTACCCACCTGTATCCCCTGTCTCCAGGGCTTGTATTCTCTCCTCCAGTTTCTTTTTCATAGCCATCCAGAGGACTTCCCTCTTTTTTCCTGAGTGTACCAATGCTTGATGAGACTCATGAACTTTTTCTATTTCCATCTCCAACTGTGGTAAAAATCATGGATGTAAGCTCATAAAACCAAATTTTTTTTAAAAATGGGGCTCTGGGTTAGATTTCTTGAAAACTTAAAAAAAGCTGTGGGCTTTTAAATATCATATCAGTGTAAAGTTGGGCTTGGGCCCACCAGATCTGATGGTACCTGACTCATGTTATGGAAAGGAAATGCAGCTGGGCATAGTGCTGACTGTTAGGTAAAAAAAATGAAAGAACAAATGGGATAGTGTGGGATATGCAACAAGCTGATTAAAATATTTAAATGGTGCTCAGTGGGCAGAACTTGAATTTAAGTTGGCCTTTGTGTACATTTTTTTGCTGTAAGGTTATATATTTACTCCCAACCTGAACGCCAAGAACAAGGAAAGACTAGATCCATGTATGGCTTAACATGTAATTTAATCCAGTAATTCTAGTATTTCTCTTACGTTTGTGAATGGTAGAAATATATATCTTAATACTACTAAAAGTCAAGTTTGTTTACATGTTTGAATATTTATTTGTTTTTCTGATTTGGTACTGTAAGGAAACTGCTCTATATGGGGGGCTGTAAAATAGTAAGTAGGTAGAGAAAAACTTTTGATTGCAGACAGACTGTTAATCACACATTTATTTAAAGACGTTAATTAATTTATTGATTTATTCATAGGTAGATTAACCACATTAATTTTAAAGTTTTAGAACAATGGCTTAACTTTGACTGAATAGTGACGTTTGATAACTCATTTTTTTGTTTGTTTGTTTTTTTATTTGTTATTGGGGAGAATCTGCATTATGTGTAGAGCTGTAAAATAGGATTTTGGGTGGTAAATATTGTTCTTTCTTAAACACACTGTTAAATACAAACTAATTTAAAGCCGTTAATTGATTTATTGATATATTCATTGGTAGATTAACCACACTAATTAGAAAAGTTTAGAACAATGACTTTAGTAATAGTATAAAGATTTTTTTTTTTTACAACAATGTTTTCAATTATTTTTTCTTAAGGCCAATATGTGAATGATAAGGTTGACTATCAGGACCTCACGGGGCACAGGGTAGGTGAAGTAGAGTTCACCTGTTTCTATGTTCTCAGCATATGAAGGGATAGTGTGGTCAGAGCCATGCTCGGCCGGAATCGTTTTTTTTTTACTACAAACATGTCTGAGACTTGGAGGGGCATTGGGCAGGTGAAGTAGAGTTTAGTAGAGTTTTTAAAATATAAAAAACGTCTTTTTGAATGTGGGGTCTGGTTATTTTGGGATGATAAGTGCTGGCAGACGTGATGTCATTTATGGATGACCCCCCGAAACCCACAGTTATCTAACTAGATAACGGGTAGTCTTGTTAATACTAATATTTGACAATAAAAATAATTATGATAATATTACAAAGCTGTTGATTACTTTGAAATGAAACTAGACTGAGTTAGTTTAAGATAAAGATGAGATATTTAAAACACTAAATAAAAATAAAAGTAAGGTGATACGCAGATGAAGATGAAAATATATCGACGATGTTTTAGAGCAATTGAGAAAAGATTTTGTTGTCACCTGTTTGTTGTCCAGACCAAATAAACTGGGAGTGATCTCCCCTAAACTTTCTCGAATATTTTTATATAACATTAAGGGGGATGGCAACTCGGGATAAAGACATTATTGTTAATCCATTTTTAATTACTTTAACTTCTTAAAATAGAATAGAAAAAAGAATTGCGCGCCATGTGAACGCCAAACAAAATGTGTATAATAGTGAGAAATATTATTAGTTCTTCATAAATTCACATGTGTCTTTTGAGAAATTACATCTTTTACTTATATGTGAAATTTCATTTATCTATCTGATATAGTACTCAAGTTATAGGCTTTTGAAAAATTGAAAGTAGAAAAAGTTCCACTTCCGGCTATCGGAAATCGCTGTAAAGTTGATAAAGATCTACAAATTTGATATAATACATATATGAAATTTCTTTAACCTATCTGTAACGGTACTCAAGTTATTGTGTTTTTACACACAGACAGACACACACAGACAGACGTCGAGATTTGCACAAAACTCGATATTTTTGGGGCACGATTACAGTACTCTCTCTATGCTTCGTATACGAGAAAGTAAAAAGAAAACAGAGAATTTTCAACCACTCTAAACAGAAATTCAGCATTAATATACAAGATCTACATTATGTCTAACTAGCAACGGATGGCACTCTATGAGCGCCAAGAACTACATCCCCATCCTCTTAGTTGTCATCCATTTAGGATCAGGGGCAGAACTACCAAACCCTGCAATGCTCAAGCCGTTTAGGCTGTCCGAAACCCGACCAAAAACAACAATTTTTTTCTTTCTGCGCCTTGATAGACTAGTTGTTTTGTAAAAAAAAAAGAACTACTACAGCAGTAACTAATACAATATTTTTGCATAGGCAAAAAATCTACATGAGCACTTGTATGAAAGATAAGCAAACCTTCAAACCCACTTCCATGACTTATCGCTCCTCTTTAGTCTAATAGAGGTGCCCATGATAAAGCTCATTTAAATAGTTTTGTACTAAAGGTTAGTGTTTATGGTTTTGTACTAAGCAAATTAAAAAACATTTTCTTCTCTTAATAATAATTATATTAAAATAAAGCATACTAAAGTGACAGCCGTAAAAAAGAATGTGTACAAAACTATTAATATAAAAGAAAAACAAAGCATAAAACAACACTGGAAACCATAACACATATCAGACCTCCATGTTGGAGGATGGGAGGGAGGGAGGGAGGACCAGGAAGTGCTTATGCACAATGTAGACCTATGCCTCACATATATCATTGTTGATATATGTTATAATGAAAAAATAAATAGTCACTTGCCTTTTTTGTCAAGCTCGATCAATCATAAACTCATTTGTCAGAATTCCTTGATTGTTGGAAAAAAAACTAACTATGAAATCATCCCATTTTATTGTCTTAAGCAAACGCTTGCTTGGATTATATTATTTTAGGGAGCTTAGGCTTTAAGGGTAGGAGGTGATGACAACTGGCATTTACACTAGAGGTTTGGCCTAGGGTTAGGGTTCTGCTATTTGATTGTAAACACACACATGCGCAGTACCATCGAAAACATAGCTGCGAATGAAGGCGGTAGTTTCTCTCCATTGTGCATGCGTATCTTTTTCCTCTAAAATCGGCCACATACAAAACCTTAAAAAAAAATTACTTGATCAAGACAACAGCTAACTAAGCCCGCCCATTTAACCCGCCGTGTATTTGAATTGGAAGAAATCTAGCAGATGACACATTTCTGCTGAATGGCACTGAACAGTCAATCGCATCACAACAACACTCATTAAAAATTTCATAAAAAACGTTTTAATAACAAGCTTTTATGTAATGATGCACTAAAAAGTAGAAAATAAATTATAGACTACTATTTAAATAACTATAAAGAAAAGCGTGGGTCACTTTAGTATCTATTGGATACCTTTACTAATGTTAAGGAAGACACCCACGCTTTTCTTTATAGTTATTTAAATAGTAGTCTATAATTTATTTTCTACTTTTTAGTGCATCATTACATAAAAGCTTGTTATTAAAACGTTTTTTATGAAATTTTTTTTCAGTACTTTACATGTTTTATTTACAATAGAGTTACATGACTAAAAACCATTGCGCGCCTACTGAACATCACGTTCAGTAGGCGCGCAATGGTTTTTGAACGCAGCCATTACGTGATGGCGCAGCTATTGAAGGTGATGACGCGTGTGGTGTGGTTGGCTAGACATGCCTACTAATTCGGTCCAAATTTTTATTAATTCATAAAAAATTAATTAGGCATCCAATTAAGTCAAATTTAGTTTCAGATTGCATTGTCTTCATGTCTTGACCCACGTGCCAACTGTGAATCGTGTCGGTCAAGTAGAAGTTTCCGAATTTTCACTCCTGCGTTTCCGTCTAGACAGACTGACGAGGAAGTGAGTTAAATAAAAGCTTGTAAAAAAAAAAATTCATAAAAAACGTTTTAATAACAAGCTTTTATGTAATGATGCACTAAAAAGTAGAAAATAAATTATAGACTACTATTTAAATAACTATAAAGAAAAGCGTGGGTCACTTTAGTATCTATTGGATACCTTTACTAATGTTAAGGAAGACACCCACGCTTTTCTTTATAGTTATTTAAATAGTAGTCTATAATTTATTTTCTACTTTTTAGTGCATCATTACATAAAAGCTTGTTATTAAAACGTTTTTATGAATTTTTTTTTCAGTACTTTACATGTTTTATCTACAATAGAGTTACATGACTAAAAACCATTGCGCGCCTACTGAATATCACGTTCAGTAGGCGCGCAATGGTTTTTGAACGCAGCCATTACGTGGTCGTGATGGCGCAGCTATTGATGACGCATGTGGTTGGCTAGACATGCCTACTAATTCGGTCCAAATTTTAATTAATTCATAAAAAATCAATTAGGCATCCAATTAAGTCAAATTTAGTTTCAGATTGCATTGTCTTCATGTCTTGACCCACGTGCCAACTGTGAATCGTGTCGGTCAAGTAGAACTGTCCGAATTTTCACTCCTGCGTTTCCGTCTAGACTGACGACTGACGACAGACTGACGAGGAAGTGAGTTAAATAAAAGCTTGTAAAAACCCACCGTGTCAATCTTATCAAAGTAGCAATTTAAAAAATGTGTTTTATCACAAATTATTTTTTAGGCTACCAATTACCAATTAAATTTGATAACTAAAATTGGTATCAAATTAAAGGTAAATAAATATAGTTATTAATTGAAGAATAATGAAGTTTAAAATCTTAAAGTGACACCCTAGCTATGATCACAGGTGCTTTGTAAATTGGGGTTTTCCCACAGTAGGTATTTGACCACAGGGGCTTTGTTCACATGCAGTTTTTATAATATTAATAATGAAATGAACTGTTATTTAGTTTATAAAAATTACGTTACAATTTATAAAAGTTTATGAAACAAATTTCTTTGGAGGTGGCAATAATAGTAATAAATGAAATAAATAATTATCAACAACAGGTTGACAAAACACATGTGATCAAAGCCCTGCTGCGGTCTAACAACCTGTTGTCACACCTCCTATGGTCAAAGCAACATGAACTATAATTTTCTACTCTAGATGGATTACAGTTTGGCTCATTTTAAGAAATTTTATGTTTTACACAAGTTTCTCTGACCTGAGTTTTGACAAACTGCAACTATTTTGTAATAAATGGTACTAAAAGATATGTAAACAACAAATAAATGGTACTAAAAGATATGTAAACAACAAATAAAGTGCATATGCTATGAAATATTCAGTAGATGACTGTACTGATCCACTTGTGTTATCACAGTCACATTCAAGATAGAGCTTTCAATTTAACATAGAAGAAACAAACTATATTCAACTTGCTTAGTAACACATTTCAAAAACGTAATTATAAGAATCGGAGAAAACATTAGTAAACATTTCTCTTTAAATTACTGTTTTAAAATTCTACATTATTTAAAAGCACATCTTCAATTGAGTTAGTGAATAGGTACCTTATGTAGCCTGGCCACTTTCATAGCACAGCTGGCAAGCTCTTCCCTAAGTCTTTTATTCTCCTCAGTCAACATCTCAATCATTTGACAACTAGCCTTGGCAGCTATTATTGTTTGGTCTTTGTCATCACAACTGCTGTCACTGGGTTACATTCAAACAAATTCTATGGTCAACAAACATCACAAATCAATATTTTCAACTTTGAACATGTCAGAAAGCAAAAATTTGTAACATTTTTTAGTTTTATCCTTTCTTTACATTTATATTATGTGTTGAGGTAATAAAGGGTATAATAATATTGTTATAATTTCTTACTTTTTCCAATTTTTTTTTCCAACCTTTATAAAGACAATGCCTTGTGTTATTCATTCAATTTTCAAAACAAACAACATCACATATTGATTACACACAGTTGCTATAGAAAATTAGTTATAGCACTGTTTCCCTTCTATTGCCAACTTTTACAACACAAAATACATTTAAAGGCTTAAAATGTTCATGCAGTATTGTCTTGGGTCTGAATAAGAAATAGTTTTTCATTTTTTAGGAGAAAGAGATATTTACTGATAGTTAAGAAACAAAGATCTTTTTGATAATGAGCTTACTAAAGCATTGACAATGATTAATAATATAAAACTCAATATTTTATTTTTAGAAAATCAATCTACTGTTGTAACATTTTAAGATGATGATTATTACTTAAGTTCACTCTTAATATGCCTGGTGTTTCTTTCAAACAAATCAAACATGCAACGCCATTTAAAAACAAACGCCGTTTTTTCACAAATCATTTTCTAGGCTACCGATTAAATTTGATAAACAAAATTGGTATCAAATTAAAGGTAAATAAATGTAGTTTTTAATTTTTTAATTCATCTTGAACAATAATGAAGTTTAAAATCTTAAGCGACACCCTGCTAAAAGTCTAAGATTATTACTCTAGCCCTGTAGCGTAAACGTCTAAGATGTCATTGAAGCTGGAGTTATTACTCTAGCCCTGTAGCTTCTTGACCATGGAATCCTATCAATTGACAATCTATTTATAGATAATGAATTAAAAAACAAAAAAATCAAAGGTATGATACCATAATTATAAATAATATTATCTATAGTGGTACAGGTCTGGAGGCTCTAGCTAAGTAAAAAAAGTGCTGAAAATTTTAAGACCAGTTTTAATTCTATATATTTTAATTACTACCTGTGAAAATGATTTTGCAATTTTTGAAAAACTTTTATCTAAGGCATGGAATTACTTTTTTGGGAAAGTCAGAATTTAAATACAAGTACCATAATGAATATGGGACGGCGTTGTCTAAGTGGTAGAGCACCTGGCTGCTAACCCTAAAGTTTTGAGTTTGAATCCAGTTTCAAGTCAGAAAGCAGAATCCACCCATCAGGAGTTCTGATGGGTATCTAAGTCATGTTAGGGAAAGTAAAGGCGGCTGGACAAAATGTTGACCACACCATCCCTTCATATGCCGAGGTCAAGAAACATGAACTGTACTTCCTCTGCCCAATGGACCACTATGTCTAAAGAGGATTCTTTACTTTTTTACTTTTACCATAATAAGTACCATAAATATAGGAACATTATTGCTTTACAGATTCTAGATTTGTTTGCCCTAAGAATGTTCCATACTTCGCACAGCACTTTAGCTAATGATATTGGCACTTACTTTTGTGGAGTATCTTTAATATAAATTCCAGGACTAGAAGAACATAAACGAAGATCTGGAATAGACTTTTGCAAACAGAATTTATCCATAGCCTCATAGGATCTACAAGGCCGAATATCAGCAGATGCCAAGCTCCCTGGGTATTCAGGTGGAGGAGGAAGATTAGCCAAGTTTGACAGAGGTTGGTTATCTGTTGTTTTAACGGTGTGAGATAAGAAAGTACTAGATGATTGCGATGAAGCAGTAATAGAGGAATGTGAACTACTAGTGGAGTCTCCACTCCCAATAGTCCAATGTGTGTTAACATAAGGATGTGGGTGGTGGAAGGTAGATACAGGAGGCACACGTGGTGATAAATACTGATTGTTTGATGATGAGGAAACAGTCGTAACTGCTCCAGCTTCATTTCTGTTTATCCATGACAAGTAAGAATAGTCTGTCTTTAGTTCTGAATTTCTGGAAACAGGGTCAAACTGCTCACTCACATTTTTGTGTTGCTCACATAAATCACCATGGTAATGAGATTGAGAAAGATGCCATTTTGGAACAGTTAAATGCCCTTGAGAATACAGAGGGGCAGAGTTTGTTGAAAGACTATTTAAAGAAGTGTTAGAATCATTGTGTTGCCAGTTCTTTGACTTATCAAAACAAAATGATGCCGAAGAACTACTACTGTTGGTAACAAAACTTTTGGAAGTGTGAAAATTCCCAGCAGTTTCCAATACTCTTGGGGGCATTCCTAAACGCTCTAAAATACTGTAGCTGCTGCCATCAGAACTACCAACATCTAGGGGATAACTGAAAGGTGATTGTGTTTCCTCTCCTTGAGGTTCCTGGCGTTGTGTTGAGGCTAAGTTTTCTGTAGATGATAAAGACACATCTGTACTTGTTTCACTGCCAGAAAAGCTGTGTCGAAATCCAGGTTCATTGATGTTAACCTAAAAAAACAAAAGTTTTCATTCTGTAGCTGTCTTCAAAATAAAATAAACCGGGAGTGATCTCCCCTAAACTTTCTCGAATATTCTTATATAAAACAACAGGGGATGGGAACTCATATAGGTATGATTTTTAATCCTTTAAAATACTTAAACTTTTTAAAATAGAATAAAATCTCATAAAAAAAGAATTGCGCACCAAGCAAACGCCGAATAAAGATGTGTATAATAGTGCGGAATGTTTTAAGTACTTTATAAATTCACATGCGTTTTTTGAGAAATCAGAAATAGCGTAAATTAGTACTTCCGGTCAACGGAAATTACTCAAAATTTGACAGAAGGTAGCGAATTAGATCTTTTACTTACATGTGAAATTTCATTTATCTATCTGAAATAGTACTCAAGTTATAGGCTTTTGAAAAATTCAAAGTTAAAAAAGTACCACTTCCGGTTATCGGAAATCGCTCAAAAGTTGATCAGGATCTACGATTTTGATAAAATACTTATACATGAAATTTCATCAACCTAGCTGTAACGGTACTCAAGTTATCGTGTATACACACACACACAGACAAGATTGCAAATTTATGTTTTTCCGTATCAGTGAGGTGTAAAACGTCCAGATTTGTAAAAATCTCGATTTTTTTTTGCACGATAACAAGACTTTCCCGGGCAGATGAGGCTCGTTAGCTGGGGACAGCCACTAGTCTAGGAGAGACAACTCCAAAATTAAACAACTGGTGCCTTGTAGTTTGTTCTTGGTTGGACTAAGGCTATGGAAGCAAATCCAAAAGAAAAGCAGGCTGAAATCGGAGTCAATGGCCTCAATGGCGCATAACCAGTTGACACGTAACGCTTAATTGTGTTGGAGGCGTGGTCGAGTCGGCAAAAAGCTCATGGTTGATAAATTCGAACAAAGTCTCGAGTTCAAACGCACTGGCAGATAAATCTCGATCCCCTTCAACACTAATAATTAAGAACGAAGAAGAAGACAAGACTTTCTCTATACTTCGTATATACGAGAAAGTAAAAATGCATTTAAATGTTTTAATAACATGCTTTTATGTAATAATTCATGAAAAAGGAGAAAATAAATGATTTTCTTTAAATATAGTAATGAGCTACTATTTAAATAACTAAAAAGAAAAGCGAGGATACCTGTATTATGCATTGAATACTTTTACTAGAATTTAAGAAATGACAACTGCTTTTAATTTTAGTTATTTAAATAGTAGTTTATTATTAGGGGAAAGAAAATAATTCAATTTCTATTTTATAGTGCAGGGGTCTCCAAACTTTTCAGTCCGAGGGCCGCATTGACTATCAAATTTCAGTTCGGGGGCCAGTTTCTACCAGGCATGTCTTTGATTTTTCTGGGCAAAGTTCCTCAGCCATCACCAAACTAAAGTCTTTTCTGAGGACAATAAAGATCTCCGCGGGCCGGATGAGAGGACATCGCGGGCCGAATCTGGCCCGCGGGCCGTAGTTTGGAGACCCCTGTTATAGTGTATTATTACATGAAAGCTTGTTATTAAAACCGTTTTTTATGCATTTTTTCAGTACTCTAAATTTTAGAGTTTTTTCTAATAGAGTTGCATGACTAAAAACAATTGCTCATTAACTAAACATGTTAAATTTGCATATAAAAGCACAGTAAATAGTCATTTATATTGGACATTTTAATTAATTCTTTAAAAATTAATTAAGCAATCAATTAAGTTAATTAAGTCTAATTTGATGTGAGAGTGCTAAGTTTCAAAGAAATTGGTCAGTTAAAAGTGGTAAGCATGTAAAAATGGCAAAAATGAAAGCTAATGAAAATAAAAGTATAAAAGATCTATTTTAAATAATGTAATTACAAATGAGGCAAGCATTACCTGCTTTGAGTGTCCTGGATAAGGAGGAGGGTCTCTGTAATTTTGCATTGTGAGTCACCCAGTCTAAAGACACCTTGTACTGTTTAAATAGACAAGATGTTTAGATGGACAAGATGTTAAATTTTTTGTTCAGCTACTGTTTAAATAGACAAGATGCTATATTTGATCAATATACTTTTTAAATAGATGATAATGATGTACTTGTGTATGGTATTGTTCTTCCTTAACTAGATACTACAGAAAAGCCATTATAGATTTATAAGCATTTTGAATAATCTATTCAAAATATATTTTTTCTTCCACCTCCATGCAAAAATAAATATTTTTAAATAAACCTAAACTTTCTCGAATATTCTTATATAAAACAACAGGGGATGGACAAGATTTTTAATTTATTTTTAATTACATAAACTTTTTAAAATAGAATAGAATCTTGTAGAAAAAAGAATTGCACACCAAGTGATCGCAAAACAAAATGTGTATAATAGTGCGGAATATTATTAGTACTTTATAAATTCACACCTGTTTTTTTGAGAAATCGAAAATAGCAAATATTACTACTTCCAGTCACAGAAATTATGCGAAATTTGAGAGAAGGCAAAGAATTATATATTTTACTTACTTTTTTTTTTTGCACGACTACAAGACTTTCTATATACTTTGAATATACGAGAAAGTAAAAAGTTTAGGCCTAATATTCAAAATACTAATACTCTTCATTATTGCTTGTTTTGCAACTATTTATTATAAAAATGAACCAGTGCTCATCATATAGGGCCTTTAGATCTAGATCTATTTTTTTTTTAAATGTAAAGATCTACCTTAAAAACTTTAGAACAAAGCAATTATTTTATGCAAATTATTCCAGAAGCTTTAGGGTTAATAGGCCTAACATTAAACATTTTGGAAAGAAATCTATAAATCAGTAATTTAATAATGTTAAGCATCACATTTGAAAGCTATACAAATAAATGCATTGGACTAAAATATAACATTAGGCCTAGAATCTAGGGCCTCATTATTAATAAATTAATAATATAATTATAATATAGGCCCTATAGTATAGGTCTAACCCTAACTCAAATACTAAAACTACAGTAACTGTAACGATTGGCTAGGCCTAGAATCATAGAATCTAACTACTAGCAACCCCCTTTTAAACTTTTATAAAAAGTAAGTGACCCACGACCCCCATAAAATTAAAAAGTCTAAATTAGTAAGGAAATTCATTTCATAAGCACTAAAATAAGATTTTATGGTAGACTTCCAATAGGAATTATTCTTGATAACTGTTTGAATACTATGAGTGCTATTACATGATATTAACTAGTCTCAACTATCGCAGTTGAGATTTTTTTTTTATGGCCAACCTCCCTCATGTCATTCTCGACATTTAATTTATATTTCTTTGTTTTGTTTATAAATGTAGAGATGTTGAAAATCTATTCTCGCAAAGATATGTAGACACAACAAGAACTAAAACTCGAAAGGCAAACCAAAAGCAATAAATGTCTAAATTAACTTTAAACTGCAGTGTTTGAGAGCAAAATTTGCTATTTATATAAATGCCAATATGTAAATTAGAGTGGTTTTAGTAAGTTTTACCTGAATCTCTAACAATAATTTATCCCAAAAAATGTATGCCAGATGGCTTCTAAAGTAAACGAGACTGGTTGTATCTGATGAAAACAGCGTTAATCTTTACTTAATAGTAAACTAAACAATTTTAATAAAATTGTTTAAGAACAGGTACATGAAACATTTTTTGTAACTTTTAAAACATAAATCATCTTAAAATGTGAAATAATTACCAAAAATTAAATGAGTCACCTTTCTTTCACATTAAAACCTTGGACGATTTTACGTACCTAAAAACGATAGATTACCATTTAAAGTCTAGGCCTAAATATTAAATTTAATAATTTATTTAGAATCTAGCTAGATTTAGATCTAGATTCTAATTCTAGATCTAAATTAGTAAATATCATTCGATCTCAAAAATAATATTTTTGCTTTTTGTATTAAAATACTAAAGATGACTAAATATTAAATCACAGTTTGAGTTAAGGGTTAAATCAATAAAAATGTCCTGAAATTAGCTTAAAGTTGTTTAAAAAAAGTTTTAACATAGATATTCCATTAATTCCAAAAATTAAAATACTTAAACAGCTGCCATCTTAAGAAAATATTATTTTGAGTAATTTCCCTTCAATTTCTATTTGTATGGAAATGTATTAATTCTGTAAATCTAGTTAAAGTTGAAAATGATTGTCTTGATTTCTTATAGAGTATTATAGACTAAGAGCCCACCCGCAGCATATCATATGCAGCTATTGTTTTATTTTCAGTAATTCATAATTTGTGAATTTGACATTACCAATGCTGCCACTAAAAATATTTGCTTTAAAACACTATCAGTAGGTTGTTAAGGACGATAAGCCCCCGCCCCCCCCCCCCCCACGAAAGCAGCCTCCTCTTAGTTACCTCCCCTAAGTTTAAAATCGTTTCAAACTAAATTATCAGCCCCTAATAGAAGTCACTAAACCCGGCTCTACAATTGTAAATATTTAGCGTGAACCACAGCTCACCAGACCATGTGGGGGTGGGGGTGGTAGGGATATGCCTAGAGAGGAAGAGAGGGGGCTGCTAGGCGCGCTTACAGATTGGTGTTTTCTATGGTCTCCATGAAGAGAATTATATAGATTACAACTCTTGATTTTTTTTAAGATTATGCCTTTAAAAAAGGTAATTGACCAACAATCCTGTTTTGGTAATCTCACGATATAGCGTTGGTTATTATTCCGGAATGGTTCAGCAGTAAAAAGCAGTAAACCATCGGAAATACTGTAAGCCATATTTTATTTTGCGCCATATTATTTTTAAAACCTAATGTTTAAAAATCTGCTTATTATTTTGTATTTCTGATTATTTTAATTGTTGCTTGCTACTAACCCTAACCCTTCTTACTACTTTAGACTTTAGTAAATCTAATTGTCTTATTGTACTTGGTCTAGATCTAGAATAAGAAACTGGTTGTCACAAATCTTCTACAAGTTTTTTTCTGTAAAAAAACATTAATTACTACACACAACTTAATTGTTAATATTTAGATTCTAGATCTACTAATTACTTCTAATTTTCTGTCAATAAACTTAAAAGTAAGTTAAAATATTAATTTAATGATGACTTAAACTACAACGATCAAATAAATTATGGTTTACAGTAACAAATGTTAACGAAACTCAAAAAATATTACCAGATAGGTAAATTATACGTAGACTACCACTTACAATTCCTTCATAATTTTTTTTATATCACTGCTTGCCTGCAACCTCAGAAAAACTTAAGGAACAATGGCGGGTAAAAGCAAGGTCAAGAATTGTATGGGCGTTCATTTTTTTATTAAATAACAATTTAAAAAACTTGTAACGCATTTACATGGTCAGTCACGCAAAAAAATAAATAAATAAAAAATAAATAAATAAAAGACAGGTCTGACGAGTCCCCCCCCCCCCCCCCTCAAAATTGACGTAGTAACTGAGAAATCGGATTTCTTCTGCGATCTAGCGAAATACGTCTTACCACAGTGTAGACCCTTTTAGACTTTTTAAAGTCGGAAATTTACCAAATCATTCGAACACCACTACCTATGTCCGCCCAGTTCTGATGGGTAGTGGTAGGCTACCTATCTTAAGTTAGGGAAAGTTCAAAGTAAAGGTGGCTGGGAGTAACTACACAACAATTATTCAATTTCCTCAAGTGCTTTATACAGAAATATTAAGGTAAATAAAAGTTAAAGACAACCTTGTTTGTCAACAAAAATCAACATAATACATAAATAACTATAACAAACTTTACAAACATGTGAATAGAAAATTCTCAAGAGGAAACCACTCTAACACTAACTAATAATATTAGTTAGGGTACAATATTGTACAATAATTGTTGAAGTTCATTTTAATCTAGATCTAGATATTCTATAAGTATAATCTATAATGTTTTATTTACATTATTGGTTGGTCCCTGATTGTGATTTGCTATTCAATTAATTAAAGTTTGTAAACTATGCCATAACAAACAAGCACATTGAAGCCAAATTCAATTATTCTAATTTCTCTACTCACGGCGTTAGTCCTTCCGAATCCTTACTCTACTCAGTAGAGTCTACTGTTACTTGTCAAGTCAGTAGGCTTCAGTATTCAGTAGTTCTAGATCTTAGTAGTAGTCAGTAGGCCTAGATCTATATTAAATAGGCCTAATGTAGGTAATCTATCGTTTTGGGTACGTAAAATCGCCCGCGGCTATTTATGTACGAAAACATTACCTCAAAGTCAAGGCTTAAATAGAAGTATATTGTCATACTTTTGTGTCAAATATTATAGATAAATGAATAATAAACCTAAATCAATGGCTAAATATATCGATATAGGCCAGAAATTAACTTTAAACAGCAGTGTCTGAGAGCAAGATTTGCTATATAAACAGCAGCCATTTGTAAAATAGAGTGGCTTCCCCCTGAATCTGGCGCTAAAAGCTTATAAAAATAAAACTTAGACAAGATGGCTGCCATAGTAAATGAGCATGGTTGCATCTGTTGGAAACATCGCTAGTCTTCATTTATTACGGAAAAGTTTTAATTCAATTGTTTAAAAACAGGTACATAAATGAATCAAGGAAACATTTTTGAATTTTTTAATACATAAATCCTCCTCAAAATGTGAAATAATTATTAAAATTTAAGGAGTCACCTGTTTTTCACATTACAAATCGCGGGCGATTTTACGTACCCAAAACGATAGATTACCCTAATGTATATTATATTAAAAAGTAGGCCTATAGTTATAGGGCCTAGACTCTAGATATTATTTAGGCCTATTAATTAGGCCTATTTATTTAGGCCTATTATTTTTTTAGGTCTAGATCTATCTAGATATAGATCTAGAATCTAGGTAATAAATAGTGAGTGATACTAAATTACTGATTCGATGATAAAGGGCCTAGTCTACATAATACTACATATTGCTTCTAAATCTAGATCTAGTCTAGGTCTAATAATATTTAGGACTAAGTGAACAAATTCAGTCAATCATAGATCTAATGTATTACTATTAGGCCTAACTACTATTATTATTAAAATAAAACTTACCTCAAATATTGTTAGTAATAAAAATGGCCGCACAAAAATGCGAAGAATTCCCTTCACTTGATTTGACGTCATCAGACATCAAGTTCTATTCTAGAGAAGTAGGCGTAGTGGCTAAACCGTATGGTAAAGCTAAGGCTAGACATTTTTAACATTATTACACTTTACTGTTAGGCATTTCATTATCGTAAAATATTAGATCTAGATCTAGAATCTAGTTGTTAGTAGAGTTAGCTTTAAAAAGTCTTAAAATTAAAAAAATGTAAAATAAAAAGTAGAATTAGGAAATCTAGATATTGATTTACTAAAAATACTTTAACCATTTAAGGACCAAGGGACATATTTGTTCCATAATTTCAAATTAATACAAAAAAAGGATAATTTTTTTGGCGGGCTGTTACATCACGGATAAGATCACGGACTTAATAAAAATGATGGTTTCAATATGTATGCGATAATTTTGTTGACATAATAAACTTCATTCACCCCCCTGTCCGGTCACTTTAGGTCAATTACCCTACCCAGTGTATACTTAGGTGTGACATTGATGTCGCTTTATACAATTAAGGCCTGCTATTTAGATCACTCGTAAAGTGAAAATTTACAATGTTTAGGCCTGGATGAAATAAATAAAAACAATTAACTAAGTGCAACAGAGACGAATCGATGTTTTTTTTTTCCCAAAGGTTTATTATTGAAGTATGGTATTCACATTTGTATTTTCTAACAGTTTTTTGTTTGTTTTCAAAATAAAAGTTATATTTTGTACTTGGACCACACACACTCACAATTCCATATATATCTATAATATAAGCGGATTGGTAGTGTGTCAGTCCGTCATCGCTATAGATTTTAGAACCATAACAGTAAACATCGCAAAAATAGCAAAAGAGGTCGATAGAAATGAAGAGTCCAATGCTTTTTACAAACTTTTCTTTAACTTAACGGAAACATAAACACACACATAAACGCAAACATGAATGATAACATAACTGTTCACGCAAATATAAACACAAACTTAAACGCTAACGCAAACTTAATTGGAAACATCAACAAGCACATAAAAGCAAACTTAAACTGAAACGGAAACATTAAATTGTAAATATACGCAAGTATATTCACTAACATAATCGCCAACATAAACATACATTGCAATATTCTAAACCTATGTTTATTTCTAAATCCATCAGGTTTTAGAAAAAAAAATGAATTTGATGGAGAAAAAAGTTGTTCTTCTCGATGGAGGTACAGGCATGGCGCTCGTACAAATGGGTCATTCATTTATAAACGTAAGTTAGGCTAGTGCTAATTTTTACGTTTTATTGTCAAAATCCACGTTTCATGTAAAAAGAACGTAAGCGCCATAGTCTTACAGGATAGTCCGGGGCGTCATGTTGAACCCTGCCGTGGAGCCGGCGGGTACGTCTGACTTCTTATTCATAGTCAATTGTAGGATCGTAGGCGCAATATCGCTCACGGGAATATAGGTCAGCCAAATCGCACCCTGCCCGGGCGCCGCCCTGCAAAATTGACCTTTTTTCCCGCAGGACCTCCCATGGAGTATTCCCATCAGCTCCTCAAAGTTTCATGTCATTCGGATGAACGGTGTCAAACCGCATCCGACTTTTAAATGTATACCGTTTATAGAGAAAAATCTCAACGCAACCTGACTGGGCGCGGCAACTGCACGTGGGCCAAGACTTGACGACAATGCAATATGACATTAAATTTGAATTCATTGAATGACTTATTCATATTGAATGAATTAGTTTAAAAAATTTAAAATTAGTAACTTGACCTACTACTATTCCACACTAATATACGCGCATTGTAATGTTCATTTGGTGTGCAATAGTTTTAAGTCATGAAATTCTATTGTAATTATAGTATTATGGTATAAAAAAAATGCTTCAAAACATTTCTTTAAATATCTATAATAATAGTTTCGCTGTCTGTGTATCTATGTATCTGACAAGAACGCTCTGTCTGACAAGAACGCTCTAGAGAAAACACAAGCAAAATAAAAACATGCACAGTAATTCGAAAAACGAAGTATGACGTCGACACATTTAGCATAGAGTTGAAAATAATCTCAAGGCGGAAAGTGCACACAGTAATATAATGACGTCATTGATTATCGCGTAAACATTGAATAAAAAGGAAATGTTGTCTAATCTAAATGGTTTGCGTGAAGAGTTTAAAAAATATAAAATTAGTAACTTGACCTACTACTATTCCACACTAATATACGCGCATTGTAATGTTCATTTGGTGTGCAATAGTTTTAAGTCATGAAATTCTATTGTAATTATAGTATTATGGTATAAAAAAAATGCTTCAAAACATTTCTTTAAATATCTATAATAATAGTTTCGCTGTCTGTGTATCTATGTATCTGACAAGAACGCTCTGTCTGACAAGAACGCTCTAGAGAAAACACAAGCAAAATAAAAACATGCACAGTAATTCGAAAAACGAAGTATGACGTCGACACATTTAGCATAGAGTTGAAAATAATCTCAAGGCGGAAAGTGCACACAGTAATATAATGACGTCATTGATTATCGCGTAAACATTGAATAAAAAGGAAATGTTGTCTAATCTAAATGGTTTGCGTGAAGAGTTTCTTGCATACAATTCTTCGGGTAGGGGCGAAGCCCCACCCCACGCGTAAGAACGTCTGAGCCCCCCCCCCTCCCCAACTCAAAAGAAATTTCTTCATCGATACTCTATAATAAAATTACCGCCTAATTAATGTGTCTAATCTAAAAAGTGGTTTTCTTGCAATTTCTTTAATGCAATTCTTCGGGTAGTGGCTAAGCGCGACACCAGTGTTTCTTTCAGACTTTTTCCTCCCCGGAGAGGGGTGGGGGTAATTGAAATTTTCGGGGGCGGGGGTAAAATTTTCGGGAAGGGGGGCGGACACTGGAAAAAGTATATAATTATATTTCGTTGAATTGGACGGTAGACATGATTTTTTTGGGAGTGGGGGGTGGGGGGGGGGGGGGGGTGGTGTGTGGGGGGTGGGGGTGGTGTGTGTGGGGGTGGGGGTGGGTGGGGGGTGGAGGTGTGTGTGGGGGGGGGGTGGGGTGGGGTGGTTTCCTCATCGATACTCTATAATAAAATTACCACCTAATTAATGTGTCTAATCTAAAAAGTGGTTTTCTCGCAATTTCTTTAATGCAATTCTTCGCGTAGTGGTGTGTGGGGGGGGGGGGGGGGGGGGGGGTGGTGTGTGGGGGTGGGGGTGGGTGGTGTGTGGGGGGTGGAGGTGTGTGTGGGGGGTGGGGGTGGTGTGTGTGTGTGTGTGGGGGGGGTGTGTGGGGGTGGGTGTGGGATGGTTTTAGTTTAGAGAAAAGAGACAGCACTATCAGCCTAGCGCCCGTTGTATCCTTCCTCAACGGGCCATTTTTCTCGTATAATAATATTAATACACTACTATTTAAATAACTATAATGTAAAGATACGCGTGGGTCTCTTCCTAAATACTATAAAGGTGTACAATAGATAATCTAGAGACCCACACTTTTCGTTAAAGTTGTGTAAATAGTTGTTTTATTTATTTAAAGACAATAATTTATTTTCTTCTTTTTAGTAGGTTACTACATAATGCAGCCCTAATTACATTTTTAAAATTAATTTCGCCATGAACTAGCGTACTGGTCCCGAGGGTTGCTGCGGTCACAGACGGAATGCTGACTCAGTATACATTAAAGGATTTCATCAATGCGTTACCAATTGTGTAGTATAGACGCGTGACCTTGTTTTCATAAACTGTGTTATGTAAACAAAAAAGACGCTGTATTCAGAGTTTCTTCCAGGCATCTCTTCGTGGGGGGGGGGGGGGGGGGGGGCAAAGCCCCCCCCCCCCCCCCCCCCCCCCCCCCGAAAATTTCAAGTGCCCCCCCCCGGAGAAAAAAGTCTGGAAGAAACACTGGCTGTATTTCTTGGATCTTTGTGGTTGGCGTGCGGTTTTGTCCACTCTACTGCTCAGACGCCCAAGTGTACGCTAAAAGCCCTCCTTAAAAGTTAAGTAGAACACGCCTAGTTGAGCGCCAATGTTAATGGCGTCGCGGGGCTGTCGCAATGGATATTTGTATTGAATGTATCCACAGGATGACCCTTTATGGTCAGCCATAGTTGTTGCATCACATCCCGAGGATCTTATCAAGCTTCATACAGAGTAAGAGAACAATTTACTTTCATTTTACGAATAAGCTTTTACTTTAGGCTTTTATTTAGTTCACGTCATTATGTTTGTGAGTTGTTTCAAATCTTTTGGTTTAATTCAGACCCATTTTTTATGCATCCATTTTTTTGCAAACTTTTCAGAAATGTTTGTCTTTGATTACAATGCACACATATCTCTTTTTAATTTTAATTAGAATTTAAATTAATAATTCAAAATTAATATAAGGATTAGTATATTCAATAATAAAATGGGAAATAACAACATAATTAATCGTAAACGAATGCTCAATCAGTCTTTACACAAAGGTGAACTGTTGATCACTGACGGTTAGTTTCCAAAAACGGTAAGAAGGGAAAAAAAGGAAGATAACTGCCTTTTAGATATCGCAAGGTATTATTTGGGTTTTAATTATGTGCTCAAAATACCATTTTCTTAACCCAATTAATAAAAAAAAAAATCATATTTTCCCAATCTTACAAGTTTTCTACGAAAAGTTTATATCTGTCATCATATTGTATTTGGCATCATTGGAAATCTGGATTTCTCATGTATTGGTTAATAGTATTTTCCATGATCTCGGAAACACCCAATGCTTACAATGGGCTTTACAAATTACACAGATATGATATTATCGTATATATTATCGTGACCTACTTTTCGTTATTTCTTGCTGTTTTTCTCAGGTCGCAGTTTTTAACACTAAAAACTTACTTTTTTTTGTTTATTAAATAATGCCCACCATATTTTCAGTAATTGTTTTTCATGCAAAAATAAAACTTTTGTAACGAGGGAATTGTGATGACTTTCATCGGAAAAAAGTTTATGGTGAATAATATGCAAATTTTGAAAGTTTAGCATACTAAAAATGGTACGATTTTTCATACCTTGTAGAATTCTGACCAGTAGCTCTTTCAAAAAGTTGTCATGACAAAAGTTTTAATATATACTGAAATATAAGCAGTTTTAATTTGACCTGTTTTAATTGATTAATAAAGCTTATTCTATTCCAATACATCAATATTTACATTTGCAAATTGTAGCAATTTAAAATGTTTTTTAAAGCTATTTTAAGGCAGGCGCTGACGTTGTTTTATCAGCTACCTACCAAGCATCGATAGAAGGTTATCAAAAAAGACTGAACATATCAAGACAGGAAGCAGTTGATCTTCTTAAAAAAGGAATTGATCTAGTTAAAGTTGCAAGGGATGCAGTACAGAATATGACAGGTTTTTTGTTTTCGACTCTTTATAAAATCACCATCTTGTGTCATTCTTAAAACTGTGAATGCTGAATAAATACAGTTTAAAAAAAAACATGTGAGCGAATTAATTTAAATGGACCCCCCTCGAAATATATCGCGCCTATCGTTTACAAGCATACATTACACTGAACAGTCGAGTAGCAGGTTCCAATTTAGGCCTATTGATCTTGCCTATTCTGCCTAGATTTTGGGCGTCCAAATCACGGAGTATACCACAATCTAAATTTGGATCAATATATAACTAAAATGAATATAGAAATTTAGCTCCCTCTGTTTTCCGCAGGAGAATCAAGATAATATGCAGCTCAAAGTCGTACCCCCTCCCCCACCACGTGGAATCGGGTTCAGAATGTTTGGGCAGACACCATGAACGCTATAAGTTCGTGTTCTTGCAAGACGATTTAATAAATGCAGTGAAATGGTACAGAATTCTAGGCTTCTAGAAACATCTATCTCAGTGCTTCTTACCATGGGCTCGCTCGAACCCCCAGGGGTTCGGTGAATCAACAAAGTTTACAAAAACATTTCCTTAAGCTGCGTGGAGATGGAAACTATAAGAACACAACGCTCATTAAATTCAGAGTGAAGACAGCCAGAATTTACATGTACTCTGCTTTATGCCATTCAACAAACCGATCCTCACTGCATCCGACAAAGATCGCAAAGCAGGGTTAGGGTTAGGGATGTCGAATATCATGTTGGGAAAAGCGGCTGAAGCTATCTTAACTTTCTTTTTAAAACGAGACCTTCAGCAACAAAATGGTGGCAATGAGCAAAGACATTTTCATTCAAGTAGTTAAAGAAGTTATTTGAAGCTCGCCAAAATTCAGCTTCAACTTGACGAGACCTCAGACGTTTCCAATTTAAACCGCCTTACTGTATTCTTACAGTATTTGAAATACGATGTGATAAAGGAAGATTTTTAGTGGACAACTTCTTCGAAGTAAAAAATCTTTCGTGGAGTACGGGTTCCATAGTTTTTCGGACGATGATGCTGGGAGGAAATTCTGGTTTTCGTACGATGCACCATTCATTGCTAAGTATTGTATTATGCTTAGGCACGCGTTGGAATCTATAACTTTGCTTACAAAACTGGCAGAAGGGAATTGCGTGAACTATATGCACACAAAAAGGTGCCCTGGAGCACCATATCTTCAGTGAGCTGTCATTGATAAAAGATACACAAATTTAAATATACAAAACACAATTTTAAAAAATATTTAAAGATCCGATTTCGGTAAAATTTCTAGTGCCGGTTAAAGTTATGTGTCCATTTTAATTTTCGACTTATAGTTTATATTCCGTTTCTGGTTACATTTCCAGTTGCTGGTAAGTTCCGATTTCGGTTACATTTCTAGTTACGTTTTAAAAATGTCGTTTTCCATTTGAGGTTACATTACCAGGTTAAAATGCCGGTTTCGAATACAGTAGCGTTTCCTTTTAACATTTGTACCTGTTATGGTTCCGAATATGGTTGAAATTCCGTTTCCGGTTAAATTTCCTATTCGGGTCAAAGTTCCGACTCAGGATAAAGTACCGTTTAAGGTTAGATTTTGTTTACGGTTAAATTTCCGTTTGTGGCTAAACGTCCATTTCCAATTAAATTTCCAGATCATGTTATATTTGCGGGTTCCGTGTAAAGATCCATTTCCAGATTAATTTTATTGCCTGTGAGATTTTTATTTCTGGTGAAATTTCCGGAACAGGCTGAAGGTCAGGTTCCTGTAACATGCCGTATCCGATTAAATTTTGTTTTCATTGAAATTTCCACATCACTAAACAACCAACATTTTACAATTCTCAGCAATTAAAATCGAAATATTAATTAAACGATTGTTGTGACTTTTGGCTGTAACTTTATTGCTGTGACGTTTTTCCGAAAAAAAATTGCCCGTGTGCCTTTTTTCCTGTGACTTTTTAGCGCAATTTCCATACTGGCGAAAATTGCGTTTAATAACTCGTCATTTCTGGATGGATGGATGTGTGTCCGCAGCCTTTAAGTCGTATCTTCTCTTCAACGAAGCAATATCGAGGACTAGTTCCAAAAGCAAATATGTTAAGCAAGTTCCAAGGATGATTGTGGGACAAAAAAATTCCCGGAATTCCTTCCTGGATTTCCCGGAAAAGCCAAAAAACCTCGAACAAATGCAGTTTTTGCTCCATATCTCGGCAACCAGACCACTTAGCGACTTGAAACATTTACCAATCGATTCCTGCCATAATTTAGTCCAGGGGTCTCCAAACTACGGCCCGCGGGCTGGATGCGACCCGCGAGGTCCTCTCATCCGGCCCGCGGAGATTTTTTTGTCCACGGAAAAACGTTTGTTGGTGCTGGCTGAGGAACTTTGCCCAGAAAAATCAAAGACATGCCTGGAAGAAACTGGCTCCGGAACTGAAATTTGATAGTTAATGCGGCCCTCGGACTGAAAAGTTTGGAGACCCCTGATTTAGACCAATATTGCCGAAGAAAGTTTTCAAAAATATCCTTTAGTTCGGTCACAAAAAATTAATTAAGAACATTTAAACTGAGCATCGTGTAGGCCTAGGATGATTTAAACTGAGCATCGTGTAGGAGTTTATATTTATAGGATGATATTTACAAAAAATTAAAAATTAATAATTTTTATGGATAACATAAGGAAATTGCGCTTAAATTGTCACTAGACTTTTTATTAACTTGTTTTCCTAGCAAAAACTGACCTTTTTTCTGTGTTTTTTCCCGTGCACCGACTGCAGCCCTCTCAGTGTCCCCCCCCCCCCCCCCACTCTCCCCTTTCCGCTACTGGGTGCATGGTCCTTGCTGGGTTAAAAACATGAATTTTCCATGTATGAAAAACGGCAAATGCTTAAAGTGCTTCTTAAAACAGTTTTTAAAAAACTGAAAAATTGAAATGTTTATCCTCAATATCAATGGCGAACAACGGTCGTTCGTAATAAAACTCGCTAATTGTTGGATTGTACCGTCCAATCATTATCTTAGTTTTATATTAAACTAAAATTGACGTATGAAC